GGCTACCTAGGAGGCCACACAGACACCTAGATGGAAGGACGTGGACGCTCGGCTGAGGGCCGGCGCGTGGGCCGCCTCCTTGCCTCTTAGCTGCTGTTTCTGACTCATTCGCACTTAGTCAGAAAATGATCACTGCTGGTGGGGTGGTCCCGTGTAAAGAAGTCAAGCCTGCCCCAGCGGGAGTTTAAAGAGCCATTCCTGTAGGAAGGCCAGTGGAGGAAAAGGAAGGAAGGCGGTCGATGGGCCGTCGCAGAGTCTGCCTGCCCCTAATAACTGAGTGGGGGGGACAAGCCCTCGGGCTTATGGAGGCTTTGCAGTCTCTGGGAAGTGGGGAGCCCTCAGAGGCCTGCAGCTCCAGAGCCCCCTCCTGGGGTTGCCAGTCGTGATGACGCTGTCCCAGGAGGGGTGCGGCTCCAACCGGAAAGATTTCTGCAGGAAACAAGATCTTTAGGGCCCTCATACCTAAGTTAAAATTAAACCTGAACCCCTGGAGCACTGTAGACCCAGGGGCTGGTGAGCACAGGTGAAGCAGCAGCCAGCCACTCCCCCCAGGCCCTGGGCTGTCCTGAGTCTGCACCAAGCTTAGGACACACTCTCCTGCTGGCACAACGGCCCTAACAGTTCTTCCAGCCCCTGGCTCCTGGGGGCTCCTGGGAGACGCGTAACTGTCAGCAAGATCCCAACCAGTAAACTTGGAACAGACCCTCCGTGTCACGCGGTTTCTTTCCCCACCCACTTGCCAGCCATTCCTGGACATTTCCACCAAGATTCCCTTTTTCCTGTTGCTTGGGCAGTCGAATTGATAATTGATTTCATTTGCGTCTGTCAAGGGGGACCTGTTCCTGGTGGAGGAACACTGGAAGGGAGAGGTAAACTCACTGCTGCTGCCAGCCAAAGGTGGTGGAGTCAGGAGCAGGCTCGGGTCTACTTGAAATACAAAAGGAAATCTGAGAAATATCGGAACAACTTAAGATACGACGCCCTTTCAAACACCACATTAAGAAAATACAAAAATACTTAGGAGACAGGGCTGACCCTACTTTTAATTTTTTAAACTTGGCATCCGTCCTTACACAAGGCCAGTAAGAGGCGGGGTTGCTTTTGCTTGACGGACACCGAGAACGCAGCTCACAGGCCTGCACCGTGCTCTTCCTGTGGCGTCTGGATCTTGGGGTGGAAGCATCAGTCCTCATCCCCAGCTGAGAGGAAAGTACTGCTAAGCTTACCGTATGGATTCCTGGGAGCTCTCGAAGACAACTTGGGTGCAGAGCTGCCCACAGCATGTAGGAGAGGTGCTAGAAAGTGGGGCTGGCTGAGTCAGGGTGACCGAGTCTCCCTTCCAGACGACCTTCCGTCGGTGCCCGTGTTCGACAGGACCCTGCCGGTGAAGCAGATGCACGTGCTGGAGACCCTGGACCTCCTGCTCTTCAGAGCAGACAAAGGTGCTCCCCTGCTGCCCTCGGAGGGGCTTCTCCCCTGCCAGCCCCGCTCTGCCTCCCCGGTGGCCCTTGTATTCTGAGGAAGAGGTTGGGGGTGCAGGCCTTGCTAGGTAACCCTGAAACACCCCAACCCTGGTTCCTCTCACTGTAGCTTTCCCCGCTAGGTCCTTTCTGCTCTTGCGACTCGTTTCACAGGTTCTCCAGCTCTTCCTCGGCCTTCTTTCTCTCAGGAAAAGACGCCCGGCTGTTTGTTTTCCGGCTCAGCGTTGTGCAGAAGGGCATCACGAGCAAACAGGCCGTGAGGAGCAAGTGTGACTGCAGAGACAACAAGCTTGAGAAAACAAAAGGTGCTGGCTTCTTCTTGTTGGGATGGTTCCTGTTCACGCTTTTTCTCAGACTGCCCAGATTTTTTGCTGAAAATAAAAATGAGTAGGGCCTATGCATAGCGAATAGGTCAGGGAAGCCGATGAGGCTTGATCTCTGCAGCACATGGTGCACTGGGGGAGTGGCCGTGGGATGGGGGTGGGAGACGGGGTCACTTAAAGGCACAGGTGTCCAGTTACCAGTTGGGGGGGAAGGGTGTGAGGCTCAGCATGGTAATTATCACAGAAGAAAACAAGTCAGAATTTTATTTTACTGTTTTCATTTTCACTTGGAAAGTCGCAAGGATAGCAATGCTGTTTCCCTAAAAGAAGCTCAAAAGGTGGGCGGCATATCCAGGGAAGTCCAGGCCTGAGTGGGAGGTGACTCAGCGCCATTAGGAAGTCTGTGAGAGACGCCCCGGCTCTGGCTGCAGACACTGACCACCTGGCTTGAAATCCTGCCTCGGCGAGGCCCGGCGCTGTGTCGCCTCTCAGAGGAGCGGGGACAGCACATCTTCGAGTCCTGCAATAGAACCTCATTTTGACTTCAGGTCTCCCTGTGCTGAGGCCGGAAACCACTCAGTCCTTCCCTGGCTTGTGCGGAGTTTCCGGGGTGCCCGGGTTGCCAGGGTACCTAGGCCTGGGGCCCCGCTCGTGTCCATGCTCAGTGTCGCTCTCTGCTCTCCCCAGGCTGCCATTTGTACGCCATCAACACACACCACAACAGAGAGCTGAGGATCATTGTGGCCATTCGCAATAAGCTGCTTCTGATCACCCGGAAGCCCAGCAAGCAGGGCGGGACCACGGGCGGGACCACCGGCGCCTCACTGCTGCCGCCCCTGTCGGAGTCGCCCATTGAAGAATTCCAATACATCAGGGTGGGTCTTCTCCTCAGATCCCCCCTCTCCCCCATGGGGGCAGGAGGCAGACTCTCTCCTTCCACCAGAGGGTGTCACCCTCTGTGGAAACCTGTTGGCCAACCCGGGAAACCTTGTCAGAGGACAGAGGCGCACAGGGCTTTTCCCTCCTCCATCCAGTTCACTGGTGCCTGCGCGCCTGCAGGTGCTGTTCTGGGCGGAAAGAGACAACAGGGGGTAAACAAAGGCTCTCTTCTCTTGGAGATTGCTTCCTACTTGAAGCATTAAGCAAATCTAGAGTCCTGTAGATGCCCATAAAACAGGGTACGAAACAGGCCGGGATAGTGGATAGGGAGGTGGGAGCCTGTTTTAGCAAGGAGGCCCGCTGAAAGGTCAGCTTCCAGCACGAAACCTGAAGTGTGAGCGCTCTGGGAAGGCGGCCCAGGCAGACGAGGCCACGGTGAGGGCCCACAGCCCAGCGGAGGGGGCTGGAGTAGCGGGGATAGGCTGGAGGCAGGAGGGACAGGGCAGGTGCTCTTGGGCCTTGAAGAGCCACAGAGGGTTTGAGACCGAGACCGAGAAGGTGGCATGGTTTTAAAAGGTCACTCTGGCTCCTGGACAGGTGGGCACAGGAGGCTAAGATGGAAATTAGAGCCTCGCACAGACTGCTGGCAAGAGACCAGGTGCCGGCAGGCGGGACAGGCCGCTTGTCTCAGTCAGGGGTCACTGAGGATTCGAGGAGGCCCCTGGTGAGAGACGCTTCTCACTGGTCAGGAGACTCTCTCCTTCCACCAGAGGGTGCCAGGAGTCCTCTCCGATCTTGCCACCCGAATCTCTTTTAAAACTACAGTTTTTAAAACTGACTAGCCCAGCCTGGCTGCTCAGGCAGGTCTGCCTGTGGGGAACTGGAAGTGACTTGCCTCGAGTCTAAGCCTCTTCAGCGAGGTTTAGCCTTTCTGCTGCTCTTCAGTTTAGGGAGACAGGACAGCATCACCATTAAGTGCAAACAAGCTAAACTCTTGCTTTAGTTGGAATTAATCTCACAAAGCAGCAGTTCTCATGAATGTTTCTGCAGTGCGTGTACCGCAGCGCATGAGCTCTGACTCAGACTTCCCAAGCGCAAATTCTGCCTCTACCAGGTGTAAGGGAGACAAGTCCCATGGCTTTGGAGCCTCGGTTTCCTCACCTGTAAAACAGAATAATAGCCTATCCTGCTTCACAAGGTGGTTGGAGGGGAGGTGGGGACAGGGGCGGGTCCGCGCTAAGTGCTCGGGGAGGTGGCAGTTGTCATCATTATCACTGTCAGTAAATCACAGGGCGGGACCAGGCTGAGGGCCGGAGGGGACCGCTCTGTTACGCCCTTTTCCTAATTTGTTTCTCTGCTTCTCCCTTTGCCATGGACAGGTGATGGGAGAGAGAAGTCCCAGGTGTCCCCTGTCTTCCCTTCAGGCAAAGGCTCTACCCAGGAGGAGGCCCGGTGTGGGGGGAGGGGGTGTGTGTGGACTCCAGAGGCTGCTCCATGTCTGACCTCTCTCCTCCATCATCCACACAGGAGATCTGTCTGTCCGACTCTCCCTCAGTCATGACCTTGGTGGATGGGCCCACTGAAGAGAGTGACAACCTCATCTGTGTGGCTTATCGGCACCAGTTCGACGTGGTGAACGAGAGCACGGGGGAGGCCTTCAGGCTGCACCATGTGGAGGCCAGCAGGGTGAGCTGACAGACAGAGGGGCCGCGCGGAGCCCACAGGCCAGGGGTCCCGTCTTCTGCCGTGCGCGGCTGGTTTCCTTTCAGTGGTCACTGATGGCCATATCTGTAGGCGTCCCCACATGACGTCGCCTTTTTTGTGGGTCGGAACGGCGCATTCTACATGACTGCCCCATTGTCCTGGGTAGCTTTTCCCAATCTCTCCTGGCCTTTCCATCCCACCCAGTGAAGGAAGCGTAGAGTCCACGGCTGAGTCTGGATAACTAGATGCAGAGAGCCTGTTTGGTCACGCAAGCAGAAGGGGCTCTGGGGAGTCATGGTGCTGCCGTGGCCCTGGGTCCTCACGGCTGGGGGCCTGGCCTTGGGTGTGGCCCATCGCTGCCTGCCCAGAGGCCCCTAGGACGGCATAGAGGGGAGGAGTACACTGGACGAGAAAGCGGTCAGCGCTGCTCCGCACCCCATGAAGCGAGCGCCAGAGTCCTGGCTTTGGGCAAAATCCAGGGCCCCCCTGAAACCATTGGGAAGCATGGGGGACTGCGTGTCGCAGCACACAGCACCCCTGGGAAGCGGGAGCACTGCCCCGCGGCTGCAGAGCAGGCCCAGACCTGCTGACACTGGAAGGGCACAGGGTGGGCCCTGCTCCCGGGGAGGGCTTCCAAGCCCCCAGGCTCCCGTCCTTTCCACTGGGCCAGAGAGACTGAGCTCTTCCTAACTGGGCTTCACAAGAAATAAAAATGCAGCATGTATTAGGACATGTCCTATATGTGTGATCATTCAAATGGCATCTCATGAGCATAAAACTTTGAGAAAAAGAAAGGTCTAGATGTAGTAAGAGGCCCTCTTGACTCCCACTGTCATCAGTCAGATGACAACAGCAGTGTGTTGCTTCCTTATAGACAGCCACTTGGTCGAGATGCCAGGCTTGGGGCATGCCAGCGTGTGATGCCACAGCCTGAGAGCAGTGTCCGCCAGACACTGTACAGGATGGCTTTGGGGGCCCTGCTGTCTACATGAACCTTTATCCACCCAGACATTGCTAGGCGATCTCTAACTGTACACGTAACACGGTGTCTACACACACGCATGTGTGTACTACACACGTGTGCGAGTGTGTGTGTGTGCACACATGCATTATGTGGGTACGCACATACACACAAATGTATAGGTTTGTTGCCCAAACTCGCTGCAGTTGGAGTAGGCTAAGGAGCTTCCTAAGCTCAGGATGCCCACGTCCCACCCCTGGAGATTTCCCTGGGCGTAGGTGTGGTGTGGGCTTTGGCCTTTAATGAGCCCCAACTGATTGATGTGGGAACAAGTTTAGGAACACTGGGGCTGCTACCGCAGTGGGCTTCAGCCAACCGGCCGGACCAGGCTGGAGTCTCACTACTTGACTCCAGCACTGGACACCCCGGGAGAAAGGTTCTAAGTGAGGGAAGGACAGGAGGGTGGGCTAGCCGAGCCAGAGCTGGTGGGATCTCGGCTGTGCACTGACCCGGAGAGCCTCACTCTCCTCACTGTGAAGCGGGAGGGCGCCCTCTCTCCGGCTGGCGCGCTGTGGCACCGAAACCTCTTAGGACAGCAGTGGAGGTGTCTGTGGGCTGCGGGAGGATGGTGCGAGGGAGGGAAGGGAGAGCGCGGCACTCACACTGTGGTCACAGCCTCGCTGTGTGGCGTCCTGCGTGCCGGAGGCAGAAGGGCCCCCGCCGCCCCCAGTGTGGAGAGCCGGGGCCACTGCACAGCCTCGGAGCTCGCGAGTCTTCTGGTAGCGCCAGCATCCAGCCTGCCCACGACCCTTGCCCGTTCTCATTGCAGGTTAATTTTGTTGCAGCTATTGATGTGTACGAAGACGGAGAAGCCGGTCTGCTCCTGTGTTACAACTGTGAGTGAGGGTTTCTCTACCGGCTCAAAGTTAGTCGGGGCGATTAGAAGGGTTCACCTCATGTGCTGCTGTGTCTTCCCTGGGTCCTGGGTGCACTCCAGGGAGACCCAGAGAGGCCTTTCCCCCTGGCCCCCACCTTCCAGGCCTGCTGGTGAGGTGGTGAAGCTCCGCTGCCTGGGCAGGTCTCCAGCACGCGGCCGAGGCTGGGAGCGCTGAGGAGCGCTGGCGCTGTGCCAGGCCCTCTCAGACTCTGGCCACTGCGTTCCCAGGCACCAGCAGTTGAGAGAGAAGGCAGTGAGGCCTGGAGAGGTGAACGCCTTCCTCAAGCCTGCAGCAGAACAGCAGCGGACCCCCCCACACCCGGGCCCTTCCGCCTCCCCGGCACCGACATTCAGCACCGCCACTGTTCCACGGTTTCTCAGGTCTTAGCGAAATCAGCCCCCACCTGGCATCGCCGACCTCAGCTGGTGGGTTTTGGGGGGGCCAAAGGTGCCAAATAGGGTCTTCGAAGCTTTTCAGCATCTCAAGTATTGTGCTTCAGTTAAGAGGACCTTTTTATGACTAACAGTAGTAAGCGGTTTTCCCGGGTAAGAGTGCCCCGTCGCCCTCAGCAAGGCTTTTCCCTCCGTCTGGACTTGTATTTGGTCAGAGCACTTAGGACAGGTGTTTAGATTAATCTCCGGTTAGCACCGGAGAGCGAGTCATAAAGTAGAGAAAGATATTTGGTAAACAGCATCTTTCCAAATCCCAGATTTGTGGGGAATGAGAGAAGGTAGAGCGCGAGGCAGGAAGCTCTCTGGCGGTAAACTGCTCCAGCAGGACATTCCAGCCCCAGCTCCGTCCAGCCCACAACGCCAGGTCGGGCAGGGCAGGCGCGCTGTCCCGTGGGCCCTGTCAGGTGGCCCTGGCGGCCAGGTGCCGCGCCTGAAGTCACTTCTGCAAGGAGTGGGAACATCTGTGGGGAGACCTGGCGGCAGCTGCCCTGGAAACCCACCTGCGGTTTCTCTTGACTAAATTCAACTGCTTGAAGGACGGAGGGATTTCAGGTGGCAGAGGCGTCCAGGGCGGGTCTCCCAGATGAGAGAATGACACGCGAGAAGGACATGAGCGTGACTGACATGGGCTCTGCCTAACCTGAGTCACAGGCCGGTGGTGGCCACGGCGCTGCTCCAGCAAGGAGCCCCTCCCCTCTCCAGCCCCTCCCCGGGGCCACGTCCCAGCCCAGGCCGCTCAGTCCCTGCTTCAGGACCTGTTTCCACCCGGCATGGGCCTGGAGTGCATCTCTGTAAAGCCGCCGGTCTGTTGATTTCCCATGTGCGACAGGACGTTGGCCAGAGAGGCCCCCTGACCCGCCTCATTCAGCCCCAAATCGTGCACTTCCTTCCATGTCTTGGGGTGAGGGTCTATCTCTCATTTTCTACCTGCCACTTTCTCCAAGCAAGTTGCCAGGCCCCTGGTGGCGGCGGGGGTGGGGTGGGTTCCCCACAGTTACAGGTGACTTGCAGGCTCGTGCATCGCATCAGCCACACCTGCTGGAGTGGGCTGCGTGTCCTGGTCAGACACTGAGCAGAGCAGGCCTCTCGACACAGCGTGTCCCCGGCGCTGCTCGTCCCCAGACTTGAACCTGGCTTTTTAAAAATTGAGGTAACAGTGGTTTACATATGACAAGAGGCAGGATCCACACCTGTTCAGGTGTATGTCCTACCACCAGGGCACCCCGAGTCCTCCACCGTGGGCCATAGCCCTCCACCCTTTGAGGGGCTGATTGTGACCATTTAAGTCTGCTCGTTTCCAGTAACCAATGAAGTCAAGTAAAAATAGCTTCCAGAGTCAGAGAGACTATTTTATAACAGAGATTGTAGCTTTTCAAATAGGTTGTTTGAAGAAAATGTATTTTTGAGGTAACAGGCGAGGGCAGCATGGAGGTCAGTGTGTTAACGACATTCTAATCTTATTCTTGAACGCCAGGGCCAATCTTTGCTGCAACACAGAAGCAAAAGAAAATTTGGCTGTGACCTTAGCACGCAGCCAGGACCCACCTTTAAGGCAAATTGTAAATTCTAGGGCTAAGGGTGGGCCCTGGGCTTCCTAAAGAGTTTTAAGGTAATTAGGCAAGGAAAGTTCGCACGTGTTACCCCACATGACAGCATTCCAGCTCAGGGGGTGTGGCCCTGCAAGAGTGTGATGGGAAGAGCACTCAGATGCCTTCTCAGGCCTGCGGGGACCCAGCGAGACCACCCGCCCCCTGCCCCGCTGACTCCGTATCCGTCAGAGCAGTCGTTCAGCTCGTCATCTCCAGCCTTGTCCATCTGCAGAGACTTCTGTCTTAGCCTTAGAAACAGTCCCTGCCGCCTTGTTCTCAGCTGAGGGGGAAGGCCGGCGCCCAGCACTCCCTGCTTAGAGCCGGTCTTAGATTCACAGTGCTGCACTCGCGCTTCTAGATCAGCCAAGAAGCCCAGCGAAACCCTGGGCTTCCAGCACGTGCCCCTGTGGACAAGGGGGGCGACCATCACTGTCATAGACAGCATAAGAGAACCGCTGTGTGAGACACCGTGGTCCCATCGGAGCCCCTCAGCCCACGTGGCCAGGACATTCTTAAAGGCACAGCATCCCATGGGCCTGGGGCCGCGCTGAGATCATGTTCTGCTGCCTTTGCCCCAACTGCGCTCCACAGCACAGCGTGGCCTCAGCTCTGGCGTCTGGAACCTCCCCCTCAGGCGCGGGAACAGCCTTCAATTTCAACATTACAAGTCTGGAGAAATGTCACAGGACACAGCAGAAGATAGCAGGTGTCACTGGAAATTTGTTGCCCAGAGACAAGGGAGCCCGAGGCAGACACAGAATGAGAGAGAGGTCATTGGGCTGAGTCCTGCCGGTGGACACTCCTGACGCCGCCCCTCATATCCTCCTCCAGCTTCCTTCTCTCCTGCTGCTGTCCCGCTCCCCCACACCCCTCTCATTCTCTTCCCCTCTGTCTATCCTTCTCATTTGCCCCATCACCGCCTCTTCTCACCCTCTTCCCCCAGTCCTCAAGGCTCCCCTCTGCAAGGCCTCCAGGAGGGGCACTCACAGGTCAGCCCCACAGAAGGAACTTCCCGCTGTGCTCCCTCCCAGGGTGCCCCTCAACCTCTGCAGACAGCCAGGTATTTCCTGCCCCCACTGCTCCTCTGCATCTGCCTTCCTGAGACATCACCTTCCACCTGGCACTAGACCAGACTCCACCCCCCTCCCGCCCCCAGCCTCCACCGAGTCAGGTTAGTCACCACCACCAGTGTCCTGCCCCTCCGTGACTCTCCTGCTGCCTCTCTGGACCCCGGAGACTACATGGCCTTCATCGCGGGCCACTCTGCAGCACCACCCTCTCTGCTGGGGTTACGTTATAAACCCCAGTCTCCCCGGGTCACTCTCCCAGCTAGGGATGCCCCTCCAAGCCTCTCTCTGCCTCCCACCCTGCCAATTCCTCTTGCCACTCCCCGGACACCCCAGCACCTCGATACAGCCCACGTCCTCTGACTCAGCCCAGCTCTTTCTTCCTCTGGAGTTAGCCCGGCTCCACTTACCTCCGTCCAGGCTGCTCCGTCCAGGCTGCAACCCCCCGCCCCATCCCGCAGTGGCCTGTTTACCCTGCTGCCCGGAGCAGGTAGAGGGCAGGGCCCTGCCAGGCTCACATTGCCAGCTGCAGCCCTGATCATGCCTCAAGGCAGGAAACATTCCGGAGTGGAACACAAGATGACTGTCATTTCCAGAGATTCCGGGCAGCAGGGTCAGGTGGGCCATGTGATGTGGGAAGCTCTGAAGGGCCTGCCAGACTTGTCACAGGATGGGGACAAGAGGACAGTGGCCAGTCCCATTCCGAGAAGAAGGCTGAGCATCACCATCTGCCGGCTGTGCCCTAGTGGTCCAAGGTAAAATTATATTTTTTATGGAAAAATATAAAACTCTATTATAGAAAAGAGACTGTAAAGCCTCATTCCAGATTTTCAATATCATCATTTGCTATTTCATAATAAATATGATATTTATTATAACATTTAATATTTTAAATGTTTTAGCAGATGAGTAGCACCATCCCCTTGCATTGTAATATATTATGTCATCACTTCATACAGTCTCAGGCACAAGTCATGACACTGCATGGGGGTCTCTAGTCCTGGGAAGATTCTAATCACAGTGCAGGCAGCACAGATGTGTCTTCATGTGATGAAGCTCAGGGATCTCAACGTACCGGAAAAGCTAAGGGGCCCCACCGGTCCCTGCTGCAATGCGGGGCCGTGGCACCGCCGAGTGGGCTGCGGTACTGAGCTGCGGTACTGAGCGGAGAGAGCCGAGAGGCGCATGTGCGCATGCGTGCGCCACCGCTGGGCTGGTAGGAGCAGAGGTCTGGGCTGGGCTGCGCCAGGGCGGGGGCTGGGAACTGCACCTAGAAGAGAGCTGCTGTTTTGGTCTTTTTTTTTTTTTTTAAGTTTTTTTATTTATGCTTACAGAACTGGGGTACAGGCCAGAGGTGTGGTGGGTGAGAGGCTTCACCACAGAGTAGGGAGCAGAACAGGCAGATCCACTGAAATACACTGCTGAGGGGAGCGAGGTCTGCTGCGCCCTGGGTCAGCTCCCTGGCCAGGATCGAACTCCTGCTACAGAGGCTTTGGAGAGCTTCATAATGTTTAACCCTTTAACCTTTGCACCACCAGGGAGGGCCCTGTTTTGGTCTTTAGTATTGAGGTTATGTGTTTGTGATGAAAATAAATTATTTAAGTGGGTGGGCCAGCAACATGGCCGCTGGAATATGGACTTCCTTGCTTGCAGACTTGCCTGGTGGTGATGCCTGGTGATGAGGTGACTGATGAGTGGGTCACTGGGGAAGTCAGGTTAGCACAGACGAAACCTGTAAGTGCCTGGTGGTGGTGAGCTGCAGCCTTGTTGAAACTGGCCCTAAAGGTGCAGCAAGCCAATTCTAGAGCACTCCAGTCCAGTCGCCGCGGAGTGTCATGGGATCTTGATAGTACTCGTAGTACTCGTAGTACTCGGAGTCCTCTTTACCCCAGTCCACTTCACTTGTCTCTGCCTGCCTTGTGGCCTGATGGAGCACCTCCGTTGGGGGGGTTACTTGGCTCTTAAAGGGACAGCACAGGGTTCTGACGTTATAAGCCTCCCCACAGCTGCAAATGTGTATAAGTTTAAATCAAACCCAGACAGCTGATAACAGAACTGCTTTATGGAAAAATTATTCCTGTAAACATGAAAACAATTTCCTTATAGATTCATTTTATTGTTTTTATAATTGCAGTTATACTTTTGCTGCTATTATATTAGAACAATTTTCAGATATCATCTAAAAATACAAATGTGTACTTTAAAAACCAATTTCAAAGGTAAATGAGAAGGCTTTTTCAATGTGTGTAGTATTTTTGCTGTAAGAATCGTAAGTGCTGAGCAAAACAATTTACCTCTAATGGAAGTGGTTAATGATTTCGGGAAGGCTGGTTCGATCTGATATTATGCACAGACTTTGAGATACTACAGAACACTGTGTAGCAGTTGTGAAATCTCTTCCTAGCCTGAATTTACATTCCATGGTGAGTCACGGCAACTATAGTGTTATTAAAGTAAGTGAGCACAACAAAAACAAAATTAACAGATCAAGAGAAATCCAGAAATAGAACCACATATATTTGAATCTTCCAACAAATATGCTGAAATAATTGGATAATCATGTGCAAAATAAAAACAACAAAGAATCTTGATCTAGACCTTCACGAGATTAAACAAAAAATTAATTCAAAATGGATGATAAAACCATGAAACTTCAAGGAAACCTAAGAGATTTACAAACATGGCAAAAATTGTTTAGATGTCACACAAACAGCACAGCCCAGAAAAGAAAAAAGTAGTGAATTCAAAGTAGAACTCTGATCCTTGAAAGATAGTGCTTAAGAGAGGGGCCACAGAGAGCGAGTGTTTGCACATCAGACATTTGGATCAGGAAAATACAGAGAACTCTCAAACTTAAGAAAAGGAAAACTCAATTAAAAACAAGGAAAAACACACCAGACATCTCACCAGAGACGATATGAGTCTGGTAAACAAGCTCAAAAAAGAATGTTCAGCATCCATAGGGCAGTGTGACTCCTTGAGACACTGCCACACCCCTGCAGGGGGGCTAAAATGAAAAGACTTGACCCCTGCAGTGCTGGCAGGGTGCGGAGGCCATGGGCCTCTCCTGCCCTGCTAGGGAGTTAAAATGCTGCAGCCACTTTGGTAACCAGGTTGGCAGTTCCTCAGAAAGTGAGACAGTTGCCACACTCCAGCCATTCTACTCTGGGTCTGTACAGAAGAGGCACAAAAGCACATGTACCCCCCAAAAGATTTGTACTCTGTCACTCCTGGCAACATCCTTTGTATTATTAGCCCAATGTGGAAATGCCCCAAATGTCCATTGCAGTGGCTCTCAGACATGTGCACAAGGTCCTGGAGACTCCTCCCCTCCAGAGGTGGTGCTTTGATCTGAGGCCCTTGCGTGTGACGGGTCTTAGGGACTGGCTTCCATTGAACAAGATATGGCAGAAGTGGAGGAGGTGACTTCTGAACTAGGCAAAAAAAAAAATCATGGCAATCCCCCGGTTGCCTTCTCTTGGGTTCCTTGCACACAAGGAGTCCCATGGAAAGGTCTGTGGGGTGAGAAATGAAGGTTTCCTGCCCAGGGAGCCTACCCACACAGGGGTCCAGTCAAGCCCTCAGGGAACTCTGACCACAAGGTCATCTTGGCTGTAGTTCATGGAAGCCCCTGACCTAGAAGCATCCACTTCTAAGCCATTTCTGAATTCCTGACTCACAGGAACTGTGAGATAATAAATGTCTGTTGACCCAGGCTGGGATCATTTGCTACATAGCAATAGATAATGCATGTGTCTGTCAACAGGTAAATGATTAAATACTCATATCTCTGCAATAAAAAGGTAATGAACCTTTGAGACACATAATAATAATAGGGAATTCAAATAAGTAGGCTAGGTGAAAGAAGACAAAAGTATATACTATGATTTCATTTATATAGAATTCTAGAAAATGCAGTCTGATCTGTGGTGATAGCAGATTGGGGTTGTCTCAGGACAGAGAGCAGGTGTAAGGGTCCACTTAGACACTGGGGGTAACAGCTGCTTTATTCATCATCTTTTTTTAAGATTTATTTATGCTTACAAGAACTGGGGCACAGGCCAGAGGTGAGGGGTAAGAGGACTCACCAGAGACAGAGTAGGGAGTAGAATAGGCAGATTCATTGAAACACACTGCTGAGGGGAGCAGCAAGCGGGTCAGGAGAGTGCCATGTGGGCCACTCCCTGGCTGGGGATCAAACTGATGCCACAGTGGCTTTGGAGAACTTCATAATACTGTGCTTTAACCTGTTGTGCCACCAGGGAGGGCCCCATTATCTTCTTAGTAGTGATGGTTTCAAGGGTGCAGACACCTGTCAAAACTTACAAAGTATAGCTTCAGACATACACACTTAACTGCTTGACAACTACCCCTCAAGACTGCTAAAACAAAACAAAACAAAACAAAACCTTGGGGAACAAAGTAGAACATTTTACCCATAATTTCACTCCCTAGAGACATGTTACCATTTCCTTCCAGACAGTTATTTTAAGAAATAATCAGCAAATTGCAAAGGAGGAGGGCTGAACTGTTGTGACAGCGTCATTTATAGAACAGAAAGCTCAGGACAAACTAAATCAAATCGAATCAGGAAAGGACTGGTAAATACATATACTACATCATCGGATTGCACACTTAAAAAGGATGAACTCGAATGGTGTAGAAATTATAGCTGAACAAACATGTTTCAAAAAGCATTCTAAAATATGATTCATGACTAAAACATGAAGAGCTTCTGGAATACAGGAGACCTTGGTTTCCCTATGTGCTGTCTTGCTCTAGGAGAATCTGAACCAGCTTGGAGCAGGCAGGTCAAGAACAGGATAATGAATGAACTTGGCTTTGCCTAATGCTGGCTCAGGTTCCCCCAGGTGATACGGGCATATGGTTTCGAGTTTTCCTAATAAAGCGTGGGGTGGGGCTTCCACCACACTAGCCTTGCCAAATCACCTTCAGGTCTTCCTCCGCCTCGAGCTGCCATCGAGCGTCCCTCTGTGCCACCCGGCAGACCCGCGCTGTCCCCAGCTGTCCCTGCGGTGCTGTGAGACAGGCTGCTTCACCTCTCCTAGCCTCGCTCTGCCCATCCCCAAGTCCGCGTGCTTTCTAACCCTCAGAGACTGGCAGAGTAGTCTCCAAAAGTGGCAGTTATGATCCCCGAGTATCCAGGCCCAGGAGGGGGGGCGGTCAGACCTGCGACAGAGAGAGGCCACGAGATCCCCACTTGGGGCCTGTTGGTTTACCTGACCACAGTGATGTGTGTTGTCTCTAACAATCGTGGGTTACGTTGTCTCATTGCAGACAGTTGCATCTATAAAAAGGTTTGCCCATTTAATGGGGGCTCTTTTCTGGTTCAACCCTCGGCGTCCGATTTCCAGTTCTGTTGGAACCAGGCTCCATGCGCCATTGGTAAGAACAGCCTTTATGCGACCTTTGTCTCTTGTCCAGGTGGCTGCGTCTGCACCCTCTGTGATGTGGAAGCGGGCTAGCTGGCTTCCTGCGTAACTACTGTAAACTGTGCGAGCCCGAGGAATACTCAGAGTGTTCTTAAAGTGCTTTTCTTTCTGTCCCTCTTGGGGACTGCTGTCCTCGGTGTCTGAACATGTGCAGTTGAGAGCAATTAGATCGCATTTCTCAGCGTTTGGGTATCTCTCAATATCACTAATTTTGGACCTCGCTTTCTTTTTTCTAAACTCCAAGAGCAAAAATAACCACCCTTAAAATGCCGACTGACCTGGGGAAGATAACATTCAGCACCACTCTTACCTGTTTTGAAGCTCACGTGTCTAGAAGCACAGAAACACAGTGCTTCGTGGCCACTGAAACGCGGGGATGTGAGTGCAGGCGCTCCGGTTCTGGTGCAGCTCCTCAGCTGGCATTTGCCTGCTGAGAGCCAGGCCAGAGCTGAGAATCTTCTCAGCTAGCATGTTTCCACCAAGTAAGATGATCTGTTGATAGGTGAGCGTGGCAGCCCTTACTCGGCCACGACAGGGTCCCGGGCTGGAAATACCAGCCGTCGCAATGTGTGGACTATGCCCGCCCTACCCGACACCAGAGCTTAGCCTCGCCTTCCTCGTCACATCTGCACTGCCTTGCCATTGGTACGATCACCTCCTACAAATTAGAATAAAGTGTTGCCTGACCTGTGAGAAATACTGACTATGAGGCTGAAAAAACAGCCTGTAGTGAGTCGGCTGTCCCCGCGTGATGTGGGACTCATACAGGGCGCAGCATCAGGGCGGCCCACCCCACGCGTCACCCGCCTGGGAGGGGTGCAGCTTCCCGGTGCGGCTTCTGCCACGCGTGCATCTTTCACACCATCGTGAAGCCGGAAAGTCATAAATCAAACTATCCGAAGTGTGGAGTTGTCGAGACTCCTGTGTCTGAGAGGAAATGAGGAACCATCAGGGCGCTGGCCGGGCTGGTCGGCCTATGGTGCTGGGCAGCAGGCAGAGATGCACATTCCTGGGGTACCGGGGGACGGCCAGCAGGCCAGCAGCCCATGCACCCCCTTCTCTTGCAGTGTGCGCTTTCCCATACCTCCTGGCCTTCACCGCCGACTCCATGGAGATCCGACTGGTGGTCAACGGGAACCTGGTCCACACCGCGGTCGTGCCTCAGCTGCAGCTCGTGGCCTCCAGGGTGAGTAGCCCTGGGCCTGCTGCCTGAGAGGCTCCAGGCGAGTGGGGTGGGAGTGCACCTCTCATCAGGCTGGACTGCTGGTAACAACACCACAGTGTCAAAAACTGCAAGTTGGACTCGGACAGACCATGGCTGGATTTCGCGTGTGGCCCACTGGGCTTTGAAATGCCCCTCCTTAGTCTTGCTGGGAGCTGGGAGCAGTTGGGGGGCACTCAGCTGAAGAGTGACACCCCTGAGAAGCGTCACTGTGGCACCAAGGACCATCCAAGCCCAGGAGAGTAAAAGTTCACGGTGTCCCGCTTTCTTTCAAGTGGAATTTGTACCCCATGAAACACGGGACTGGCTGCCCGTGTCTGGGGCACAGAGTTTGCACAAAGACGCAGACTGAGAAATGCACGGGGACCAGCTCCTGCCCGAGCAAATAACCTCCAGAGCATAGTTGAAAGTGCAGTAAAACATTCAGGGATATTGAATTTTGATAGTTAAGAACTTTCTTCCTAAACCTAGACTCCATTTCAGTCTAATCAGGGCTTTAACAGCCAGCTTGTAACTGTAAAATCCCCGAAGGTGGGCTCTGGGGGCTGCTGCCGACACCGAGGTGCACTCCGGGTGCAGAGTATTTATGCATCAGTGAATGAATGACCCTTTTCACTGGGTTCCCAGGCCACTTCCCTTCCAGCCCTCCAGCCGCCCCAGCCGCTGAGGGAAGAGTGCGTGGTGGGGAATTAACTCTCTGTTGTGTAACAAGGAGATGAGGGAAGCAGTGGGAATGGAATGCTCAGGCCTACCACCCCAGGGCCCAGCTCAGGAACCCCTCCCCAGATGGCCAAAGGCTTCCCGGGGCTGAAGGATGGCCAGCGGGGCAGGGCTGGGCACCAGCGAGTCCGATAATGCTTTCTGCTTCTTCCTAGTCGGACATATACTTCACAGCCAGCGCCGCTGTGCACCATGAGGTCTTGTCTGGAGGCAACTCCAAGGGGACCAGCACCCAGAACTCTCCTCAGACACCCCCAGGCCGAGATGCTCCCGTATTTCCTTCTTCCCTGGGGGAAGGTGAAGTCAGTTTTTATGATCTTATTAATAGATGCATTTAACCATGCTGATTCCTTTGTTCATCGCCAAGTATTCATGTGTGTGATGACGGCCCAAGGAAGTCACTAATTAAAGCCACAAAAACCCTTACACCTGAATGTGTTGACTGGTTTTCAAGAAACCAAGTGATAGCAAAAATTCCACTGTGAACACACATTGCTCACTGGGAGAAGGGAGCTGTGGCTGGCGCCGCGCCACGGCAGGTGCCGGACCGTTAACAGCCCAGTGGGTTCTCACAGCGAGACGGAGGTGGTCACAAACCCCAGCATGTTAGAGCTCCTGAGAGTCGGGAGATCAGTGTGAGACGGTCAGTCTTCCCCTGTGTACCATGGTCGAGAAACCAGAAATGATCCTCTTGTAAGTAATATAAACTCCCCTTAAAATTGAGCTGCTTCTCTAAATCTCATTTCAGGGGAAATTCAGTCCAAAAATCTGTACAAGATTCCACTCAGAAACCTCGTGGGCAGAAGCATTGAGCGGCCTCTAAAGTCACCCTTGGTCTCCAAGGTCATCACCCCACCCACATCCATCGGCCTCGGCATCGCTGCCATCCCTGTCACTCACTCTCTGTCCCTGTCCCGCATGGAGATTAAAGAAATAGCAAGCAGGACACGCCGGGAGCTGCTGGGTAATGACCTTGGGCCTTTGTGGTGTCAGTGTTTGTGAATGTGCCAGCTGCTGTCATCTCTGGGTGCTTACCACCCTCAACAAGTTACAAAGAGACAGACGTTCCCTTTAGTGAGGGGTTCATGAAGAAACTGTCGTGTGCCCACACAGGACTCCCACAGTTCACCCAAAACGGATGTGTCCTCTCCTGCCAAACTACGGACAGGAAAGGCAGCCTGCAAACAGGACATCTAGCTTCAGACAGCTCTTTAAAACATAGGTCTCTATACAGATGGTTTTCTAGAAGAGTCTAAAAGGGTCTATGTCCTGTAGCTCTCAAATAAACTTTATACTGAATCACCAAAGGTTTCCATCACCCTGTTCTTACACAGAGGTGTTCTCGAAGCCCCTCATCCTCGGGGGTAGGACAGGGGTGGGGAATGGCTCAGATGCAAGGTGTGTTCCACCCTGGTCTCTCAATATGCAGGTGGGAGGCCAGGCCAGGGAAATGTAAAGCATCATGCTAGCTGTGAAAATAATTCAAGAACTTTTTGTTCGGAAAGTACAAATAAAATGAAGAGAAATGGCAGTGATGTGTTAAGCCAGTCAGATGTCTTGAGACCCTGTGTGGGAGCGCTGTGGTGGAACGCCCCAAGGACAGCTGGCCTTGGCACATCGCTGTGCTGAGCTCTGTGTCCGGGGGCTCCGGGAGAAGGGGCCTGGGCCACCTGGCAGGCAGGCCTTGATGTTGGCAGAGTCGGGGGTCTTAGAGGTTGGTGCCTTCCAATGTGCTGTTAAAGTAAGTATATTGGCATTTCTTAACCACCATTCCCTAGGAAAGCTTGAGCTGCTGCTGTGGCTGACAACCACTGTGCTTTTCGGAAACAGGCCCTCTGAGTTGGAGAATTAGTTTCGTGTGCCAGGATCTAGGATCTGAGAGGGTTCCCTCATTTGTTAGGCTCTTCTGACCCTGTATTGTTTAGTCTGGGTACAAGCATAGTTTACAGCTAGCAAAAACACCTTCCACCAACAAGAAAGTCAGCTGTTTAAATGTATATGCATATTATCATCTTCCTTCCTGACTCCAGCCCGCTAATTCATCACTGCCCAACCAAGAAAGGCATCTTCTGTGCCCCTGGCAGCCTTCGGGTCATGACCCTCTGACCTGTTACTCTCCCCTTGAAACCAGGCCTCTCCGATGAAGGTGGACCCAGGTCTGAAGGAGCACCAAAGGCCAAACCCAAAGTCCGGAAGCGGCTGGGAGAGAGCCAAGGAGGCCCCACACCTGGAGCAGTGAGGTCAACTAGCAGTGACAGGTAACAGGGCACAGCTCCCTGCAGCCCCTGCTCAGAGTGGAGACTCTGTTGATGGCCAGCCCCTCAGGCCAGCCACAGCAGAGGGCCAACACCAGCTGCTCCTGACGGCCCCCAGAGGGCGCTGTTGGCCGTGGACCCAGACCAATGGGTAGCCTCGCTGGCAGTGCAACAAGCACTGGCTTCTTCAAATGCGTGAAGAGACAGACTGAGAGTAAGAGCGAAGGGAAGGGGGCACTCTCTACTTCCGGCAGGAATAGGAAGAGGTACAGCCTTCCCTACCACACGTCAGGGACCACTGGTTGGAGGCTAGTGGTCTGTCCCGAGATTCTCATCTGTGTGAGAGAAGCACACACATGGCCAGGCACGCTCATGCATTCCACACATGTTCTTGGAGCACCTGGCATGTAACTGGGTGTTGGGGAAGTGGACCTGACCTTCAGCGAGTCACATGATCTTCAGAGGGTCACAGGGCAGTGGGAAGGCCAGCAAGGGCCAGCATCTAGGGGAGACAGAGTTCCAGGATGGCAGGTGGGGCTCAGGAAGAGGAACACCATCCATGCCACACCTGGGCTGGTGGAGCCTCTGGGCCAGGTGTGGTCCTGTCTCATCGAGCCCTAACCTGGCACGGAAGGTGACACTACTCAGGCCTCAACCCCCAGCTGCTGGGTCCTTGCCATGTGACAGGGTCCCTCTTAGACTTTACGTTCTAGGGCAGACAGGCCATAGGCCTATCAGTAAATGAGCAGATTCACTCTTCCGGTAGTGCTGTAAGGAAGTGTAAGAGAAAGTAGGTGCCGGGAACTGGGTAGAAGGTCTACCTTGGAGGTGGGGGTGCTCAAGGAAGGCTTCTTTGAGGAAGTGGCACTGAGCTGAAGCCAAGGCCCTAAGGTAGGTGTTGACTTCTCAAGCGTGGCCTATCAAGAGAAAGAAGCCTGAACTCAGAGAACAAAACTGGGAGCCGCTGTGTGAGATCGTGAATGGGCAGAGGCTGGGCCGCAGCTTTTATGGGCCAAATAAGACCTTGTTGAGCCATCTTCTGCACTGCTCAAAGGTTTCACAGCTATCAAAAGAGCATCCTGAGAGCTGGGGCGCACAGAAGGGTGGGGTGGGCCGGGGGAGGCTGACAGGCAAGCAAGTCAGGGCCTTATCCTCAGGCCCAGGGAGGGCCGGGGAGCACATGCAACAGAGTCACGCCTCCCGATTTGGACTTTGGAGAGACCGAGGGCACCCCCCCAACCCTCCTGGAACAACCCTGTCCTTGAGACCGGAGTTCTGGTAGGGGTTGTGGGTGACTCGGGTGTGTCCTGATGGAGGCTGGGGGAGCAGGGAAACCCAGATGGGCCGGCAGTAGCCGACACAACGGGCCCAGTTCAGTGGGAGCCCAGGATCCTTTCAGAGCGACGATTCTCTTCCAGGATCACCTCGGGCTCCTTGGAAAGTCCTTCTGCTTCCGAAGCCAACCCGGAGGTGCGTTACCACTCTGCAGGCTCCGACCAGGACCCAGGGACAGACAGAGATGGCAGCCCCATGTGGGGCGGCAGCCCCTTCCCGCGCCCGGCTTCCTCCGACGAAGACATTATTGACTTGAAGTAAACAGCCCGTTTACTTGCCGTCGTTACTTTCCTTACGGGGATTTGTACTCTGCAACCTCTTCTGACGTCATTTCTCAACAAAACGCGGCCTCTGACCTGTCTGTGATCTACTGGACCAAACCCTCCGCGCTCTCAGCCAGTTTGGGCCACTCCAACGTCCGGTGCCATCTCTCTTGACCTTTGTTTCTTTCTGTTCGGGAACCATCAGTCCCCTTGTAATAAAGGTGGTAGGTTTCAACAAGGTTTTAGAGCGAAACTTTGAATAAATCAAAAATGTTCGTTCTTACTGATGCAGTCCTCTCTTCTGCACACTCAGAAAAATTATTTCTGCATGCTAGCTTGCGTGTTTCTTTTATGAAAGAAAGCCACTGCCTTTCCAGTTTACTAGACGCTAGCTTGCTCTCCGCACCTCTGGCCCCTCTTGCTGCCTCAGCCCACTGTAATTGGAACCAGCTGTTTTCCTGTTCCTTGACTTGGGGAAAAAACAACAAATGATTAGATCTTAGAAGCTTCTGCTGCTTCTTCCTTGAGACTCATGAAAAATAATAAGGTCCGGAGCTCGTCCCGATTCTTAAGGTCCTTTTGCTGGTTTTATTGTTACTCTGAAGCTAATCAGGAAACTGGCAGAAGTGCATTTCTGATTCCCTGGCCTGTGAGGCCAGCCTTGCTTTCACAGGAGCCCAACATCACGCTCCTCTGGCCATGTACCCGCCTCCCTCTGCTCCCTCCTCAAGATGAGCAGCTGTGAGCTGGGCCACGTGCAAATGAGAGAGAGAAATGTCAGCTGCTTGCAGGAGACCAAAGCGGAAATCTAGTTTCACTGACAAAAAATGTAATGTGTAAAGGAGGTTAATTTACCATTGGCTTGCCCAGAGATTTCATTTCACACTCTCTTTTTGCTTATATTATCCATCTAAAGAAATTTTGAGTCATTTCTCCTATTATAGGAACTCTGAAGAGACCTACAGGTGTACTCTGTAAATGCAGAGATGTTTGGCCTAACCTTGATCTGACATTTTACAGACACTTGAATCCTACCTCCTCGTGGGCCTTGCCTTGTGGGGACAGCGCCCTCTGCTTATTGCACAGACAGTTTACGTGCGTGGACTCGTAAAGGCAGGCTGTTCAGGTCTCTCCATGCAGGCTGCCCACAGCAAGTATGTCTTTGCAGGTTCATCATCCCTGTGCTTTTACGACAAATTTATTTTTTGCACAGAAGAACTGTGTAGACCAGAGGTACAGGGGCGGGGGGGAGGGCGGTGGGTGAGAGGATTCATGAAACCGAGTGGGGAGCAGAACAGTGGATTGACTGAAATATACGGCTAAGGGGAGCAGCGGGCAAGACAGGAAAGGCCTGCTGCACAAAAATGGGTCAGCTCCCTGGCCGGGGATTGAATTCAGTCCGTAGGAGTGATAGTGCTGAGATTTAACCATTAGGCCACCAAGGAAGCCTTCATTATTCCAGTTCTTTCTGTGTGTTTTGTTATGTCCTTTCACATAATGGGGGGGGGGGCACAAAATCAACTACATACTGTGTTTTGACCTCATCAAAAGTTCTGTGAATTAGGCTTTCTTATTCTAGCTTTTCAAACAAGGAAACCCCTCCCTGGTCCAGGGATTAAAGTCTCAGCACTGTCAAGCTATCCCCAGCCAGGGAGTGACCCACAGGGCACAGCAGACCTCTCCTGTCTCCCCACTGGTCCCCTCAGCAGTGTGTTTCAGTCCACCTGCCTGTTCTGCTCCCCACTATCTCTGGTGAATCCTCTCACCCCCCGCACCTCTGGCCTATACCCCAGTTCTTGAAATCATAAACAAATTTTAAAAATATACTTTCAACAAGACAAACCCAGCCTCAGGGGCAGCGACCCAACCAGCGCACCCTCTCCCGCCTGCCCCCTGGGTCAGCCTGAGAGCCTGTGTCTTCAGACCTGGTTAAAACTTTTCAGTTCACTAATTGGTAAACTTCATGAGTTTGTATTGTGATTTTGGCATCTTTTCCTTTTTCCCCTGAAGTTTCTTCCTTCTCAGCCTGGAATAGAAAAACCCAAGTCCATTTAAAGCCTTTTTCCAAAGAGATCAGCAGCATCAGAGCCTCCTCATGACGGGACAATCTCGCAGATCGCGCAGCTCTCAGCCGCGACTGTAGAAAGGATGAGAAGTGGGCCTGACTAAGCACACCGACGGAGCTCTGCTTATAAAGGCGGGCTGGAGGCAGCAGTCGCCAAGGTGCGATGCCTGCACACTCCTGGGGGGAGCTGCCAGCCGGAGGGCAGCAGCAGGTTTGTAGGGGCCCCTGACCCCAGGACTCACAGGCCCATCCTAGGCACACAGCCTCGCTGCACACCTGCTGCCTGAGGTACAGAGCTGAGGATCTGCCGCAGCTTGCCGTGGGGCCAAGCATTCCACAGTGGCTATCAATAGGCAGCAACTCTCGGAGGAGGAGGTCATGTGCACTGGAGGGGAGGAGACAGCAGGAAGGAATGGGGTGCCCATCGCCTGGTGATAAGTGCTGTGATACGATTTTATGGCAGCACAAGCTCAGAAGGGCAGTTACCTGAGTCTCCAGAGATAGTCGGTCAGGTGACTGCTACCACTAGCACATGGGTGCCTCACGTGCTTGGTCTCTTATAGACGGGCTGCTCCCCAATTCTCTCTCCTGGAAGACAGATGTGGTCATCCCCACTTAGAAGAGAACGGGCCCACAGAGGAGTTAGAAGCCAAACCTCTTCATCTCATAGCGCTGATCTTTCCAGAATCACACAACACTCCACTGAAACTATGACTCCCAGAGTGTGCGGGACTGTTAATACAAACAAAATCCACGATTTCAGAGATCTTATTGGTTTTATTAAGTGGCCGGTGAGTGAGCAGCACACCGTCTAGGCTTACACAAAGAGGAGGGTATCGATAGGTAAAAAGGTGGGACACGGTTATTAGTAAAAGAACAGATTAATTCAGAAAAAGCTCCTCCCTCCAGGGCAGGTAGGGGGACTTGGCTGGCAGATACCTCCCTGAGGCTGAACTGGAAACTTCCGCTGAGGCTGGGGGGAGGGAGGCCGACCTGGAGGACTCCCTCGGGGGCCTATTTTTAACAGGCACAACAGGCGATATTCTTCAGACCCTGCTCGCGTGGTCCTGAACTGGACGCACACACACGGAGACTGGGGCCCTTGTAAAACGAAGATTCGAGTTAGGACCACCTATGAAGTGGCTCGCCATTTAAGCCCAGTTCAGTGCATACACGTGAGTCACTAACGCAGGCCGTCAGCCTCCGGACTCCCTAGCAGCTGTCGACTCCAACTCGGCTGTCTGCAGGGCTCAGGGTCGTGCGGGCTGTCCCTCCCGGCAACCAACGGGCGCACCAGCCCAGGCTCAGCCTCCCAGAGGAGAGGGTGCGACTGCGGACTCTTGGAGATCTTCCGCCCTGCGGCGGCGGGGGTCAAGCACCTCCGGTCCGGGACCCACTCCCGACCCGGCAGGACTGTGGCAGCTAGCCCACGCGGGCGGGGAAGTCCAGGGCCGGCCCACTCGCCCACCTCCTCCCGCAGCCACCTCCGCGGGTGGACGCTAGACAGAAAGGCGGCTGCAGGCGCAAATACAATCCGCGTCCTCCACGTTCATTGGTCGACTCAGCCTGAAGCATCTTTCTCACCCCGCCTCCAGGCCCGCACCACACTCCTATTGGATGATGGATCTTCCGGGCCAGCCACAAAGGCCTCCTCGCCCGCGCATTGGATGACTTCGTCCCCAGGGGCCGCTCCGGGGCGCTCCTCTGACTGGCTCTTTGCGCTGTCGCTGACCCCGCCCCGCGCTTCTATAGGCTGCTCTCACACGGCACCGCCCACCCCCGCCCCAGAGGCGCCCATTGGTCGTCTCTGCGGGGAGGCGGGTGCGGCAGGCACTCGCGGACCCCTGGCGGTTCGGGCGCCGGAGCCGGACGCGCGAGCGTTGGCAGTGGACATGACGCCTGACTACCTGGAGACCCGGCCGCTGCTGGGGCCGCCCAGCGGCAGGTGAGCGGGAGGGGCCCGAGCACAGGACGCGGCCGCGGCCTCGGGGCTGCGAGCGGGCCGGCGCCGCTCACCGACGGCCCTGCCCCGCAGCGCGCCCCGCGGCCGCCGCGTCTTCCTCGCCGCCTTCGCCGCCGCCCTGGGCCCGCTCAGCTTCGGCTTCGCGCTCGGCTACAGCTCTCCGGCCATCCCGAGCCTGCGGCGCGATGCGCCCCCGGCCCCGCGCCTCGACGACGCAGCCGCCTCCTGGTTCGGGGTGAGGCCCGGCCGGGACCTTCCTCCTCCCTCCCCCCTGGCGGGCTCTGGGGCCCTGGCCCACCCCCGGGAGGGCACCGCCCGGCCCTGGGGAAGGGCCCTCCCGCGGCTTTGTCCGGAGCGGCAGCTGAGACCCTCCGCCGCGTGCTCCCCAGCCAGGGCCGCCCTCTCTCGGACCACCAGCGGGGGCCGCATCCTCTTCCCTCTGAGGATGCCGGGGTGGCTGGAGGGCGCGGTCGGGCGCGGCCGCGGGAGCCTCCTCATGTGGTGGTCGCCCGCCTGCCCGCCCGCAGGCCATCGTGACCCTGGGCGCCGCGGCGGGCGGCGTGCTGGGCGGCTGGCTCGTGGACCGTGCGGGGCGCAAGCTGAGCCTCCTGCTCTGCACCTTGCCCTTCGTGACCGGCTTTACGGTCATCACCGCCGCCCAGAACGTGTGGATGCTGCTCGGGGGTCGCCTCCTCACCGGCCTGGCCTGCGGCATTGCCTCCCTGGTAGCCCCGGTGAGTGGCCCGGCGTCCTGGGACCGAGGAGCAGTGGGACAAACCGCTGCCCAGACCCGGGGGCTTGGCCCTTCCCCCGGAGGCCTTCTGGCTGCCTGGCGCTGTGGCTCTTGCCACTTTATCCCCTCTATCTCTTCACCCCCTCTAAACCCCCCCTTGGAAGGGGCGGCTGTCATCTTGCGTTTCACAGAAGTGAGTTCGGAAAGGTGAAGACCTTTCCTGGGGCACAGCTGGTCAGTGGGGAAGCTGTCACTGGAGCCGGGAATTTTGCTTCTTAACTGGGACCTCTCTTGTATTACAAGAGCAACATTGCCAAGGCCAGAGTTGTAGCTGCATGCCCCTGGGTGAAACCCCAGCCCAGCCACTCACATGGACAGGGCAGCTATCTGCGCCTCTGTTTCCCTGAATGGCTTGTGAGGAGACAGTGAGGGCTCTGCTACCCAGGAGGTGCCATTCGGGGCCAGTCAGCCCTGCAGCAGCTGGAGCAGGAGCTCTCCTCAGCCCCGATTGGCTGAGACTTCGGTTTGAGGGACCCTGGGACCCCAAGTCTCCTCTTCCTTGCCAACAGGTGTATATCTCCGAAATCGCCTACCCTGCCATCCGGGGGCTGCTGGGCTCCTGTGTGCAGCTGATGGTCGTCATAGGCATCCTCCTAGCCTACCTGGCTGGTACAGTTCTCACCTTCTCTCTTTTGACTCCTGTTAGCGGCCAGCGCGCTGTTTTAGAGAAACAGGAATTGGCATTCATACAAGGGACTTGTCCGAGGCCACGCACCCGTGTTCACGCTGCCCGGCTCCCTGGGCCTTAGGGTGTGTGGGTTTGCTACTCACTTCCAGGGAGAGCTGGAGAAGGAGAAAGTGTGTCTTTCCAGGGCAGCTTTCCCCAGTGTGGTGCGAGGGGAGCTGGTTAGGTCAGCTGACCAGTTAGGTCAGTTCCTCATTACACAGCGTCCAGTCAGGACCCCCGGGCTGACCGCTCCAAAGCCTGGAGGCCCGGAATGTGGCGGGCCAAGCACACCCCCCTGGGGAATGTCGGTGTTGGACCCACACTGTCCGCGAGTTGCAGTATGAAAGCAGGGACCCCCGGGGCAGGGCTGGGGAAGCTCCTAGAAGCAGATGTGCTGTCAGCAGAACTGGGGTAGCAAGGCAGGCTTCAAGTCCGACAGCCGCTGCACCACCGTGTGACCCTGACACCGCACCCCGAAGCCCTGCCCCCTGTCTTGAACGGAGCCCCCTCCTGCCCAGCACTCCCAGGGATTCCACTCAGGCCGCCACGAAAGGCCCCAGGTGACAGCTGTGCAGGCTGGCTGTCCCCCTGGCTCTGATGTCTGACCCCCCACGCAGGTGGGGCTCTGGAGTGGCGCTGGCTGGCCGTGCTGGGCTGCCTGCCCCCCTCCCTCATGCTGCTGCTCATGTGCTGCATGCCCGAGACCCCGCGCTTCCTGCTGACGCAGCGCAAGCACCAGGAAGCTGTGGCCGCCCTGCAGTTCCTGTGGGGATCCCAGCAGGACTTGGAAGAGCCCCCTGTGGGGCCTGCAGACCAGGTGCGGGGCTGGCTGTGGGGATGGCAGAGCGCGCAACAGCGCCCCTGCAGCGGGGGGGCTAGCACAGACTGCCCAGGTCACTGCCCAGAGAGCCCCCCCTGCCCTGGCAGGTGAACGGGGAGATGCCTGCTCCAGCCCCTCCCGTTGGCTGTGGCCCAGAAAGAGAAGGGTCATGGGGCAGAGGGCAGCGTACGCGCAGATCTGAAGTCTGGGCTCTCTGGCCTGGGAAGTGCAGGGCCGAGAGGGGGGGAGGCGTCAGCCTCAGTCTCCCCACCTGGACAGTGGGAGGCATAGGGTGGGTGGTGGTGGCAGTAGGATTCTGTGGGCTGTGCCGGAGGCTCTGGGTTTCGGGAACCCCTTCTCTTTCCTCATGCCATCTTCGTGACTCTCGCAGCAAATCAGGGAAGGTAGGGGGAGGCGCGGGACCTTTGCTTTACAAATGGGGACCTTTGTCCCAAAGCCCAGACAGAAGCTGAGGGTCAGTCCGTCCACTGGGCCCCAGGTCAGTAGGCTCCTGCCGGGCCTTCAGGCGGGGGAGCAGCTCTGATGCGAGGGCTCTCTGAGCAGGGCTTCCACCTGGCCCAGCTGAGGCGGCCCAGCATCTACAAGCCCTTCGTCATCGGCATTTCACTGATGGCCTTCCAGCAGCTGTCGGGGATCAACGCGGTCATGTTCTATGCAGAAACCATCTTTGAGGAGGCCAAGTTCAAGGTAAAGAGGCCCAGGCCTCCACCTGGCCTGCCTCATCCGATGCCAGGTAGGTGGGGCCTGGCCCCAGGGCCTTTGACTTAGGGGCCGCGGCCTGTCTCCCCAGGACAGCAGCCTGGCCTCAGTCGTCATGGGCATCATCCAGGTGCTGTTCACGGCCCTGGCGGCCCTCATCATGGACAAAGCTGGGCGCAGGCTGCTCCTGACCCTGTCAGGTAAGGCCCAAGGGAGAGGCCTCAGCCATAAGCAAGTGGGTTGCCCAGGCCACATTCCCCCAGGAGGTGGTGGTGGGAGGAAGGTGGCCCAGCATCCCTGAAAACAAAGCCAGGACCTACTCTAGGCGCCATTGGGGCCCCAGTTTACACAAGGAAACCAAGAACCCAGGCGGGAAGTGACCCTGAAGCATGTGGGCATTTGGGGCCCGGGTCTACCTGGGCTCAGTTTCCCCTCAGTGAAGTGAGGTAACGGTGGGAGAGTGGGAGATGACCCGAGCCCTCAGGACTGCCAGGGATCTGGGGCTTAAAGCGGTACAGCAGCTGCTCTTCCGGCCCTGCTCCCTCAGGCCCGGGAGGCTGTGCTTCCGGGAGCTTCTCGCCGTCTGCCGAAGTGAGCTCCAAGCGGCAGGGCAGGGTAGGTGCTGCCCCTCCCGAGGTAGGCAGGCCACGGTACCGTGGCCTGGCCACACTGAGATGGACGCCAGCCCCCGCAGCCCACACCGGGCTGCCCACCACCCGCCCCTGCCCACCACCACGCTCACCCGCAGGTGTGGTCATGGTATTCAGCACCAGCGCCTTTGGCACCTACTTCAAGCTGACCCAGAGTGGGCCCGGCAACTCCTCGCACGTGGACCTCTTGGCCCCTGCCTCCGTGGAGTCCGCTGATGCCAGTGTGGGGCTGGCCTGGTTGGCGGTGGGCAGCATGTGCCTCTTCATTGCCGGTGAGAGGGGGCCGAGGGGAGACTGGCGGCGGCCGACAGGCAGGGCCGGCTGCTGCAGCTTCCTGCGCCTCGCAGTGAGCCCGGTCCTGCCCGCCCTCACTCGGCCACATGGGCCCCCATGTCTGTCCGCGTGCCAGGCTCCGAGCCCTGTACCCACCTTTCACCTGCCCCACAGCAGCCCCCTCCTCGTCCCATTTTGCAGGGAGGAAGCCTGATGCCTACAAAGAAGTGACTGGCCACAGACCCCCAGCTGGGAGGCGGTGCAGGGCCGGGCGCCCAGGTGGCACCGCAGTGCCCTTGACCCGCGGCCAGGCTGCCCTGCAGGTCTCAGCCCAGGGAGGCTCTGGGTCTGGATCTGGGCTCTGACGCCTGTCTTGTCCCACAGGCTTCGCTGTGGGCTGGGGGCCCATCCCCTGGCTCCTTATGTCGGAGATCTTCCCTCTGCACGTCAAGGGCGTGGCCACCGGTGTCTGTGTGCTCACCAACTGGCTCATGGCCTTTCTGGTGACCAAGGAATTCAGCAGCCTCATGGTGAGTGCAGGCCCCGGCGCCTCCCGCGTACCCCGAGGAGCACTTCCAGAATGACTCCCGCAAAAGGCCTCACACACACATTGAGCCTGCTCCACTCTGGGCATCTTAGTGGGGGGTTCAAGTGGAGACAGATGGGGAACCCCAGGCTGCGCGCACTCGGGAGCTCCCGGCTGTGTGGGTAGGAAGCGCTCTGGCTCCCCACTGGACGGCCAGGATGTGGGCTGGGAAACAGGACTGTAAGGGAGGAGCCTGGCCTTGAAGGCTAAGCCTGGGTTCCAGCTGCCACATGGCCACTGCCCAGCTCCGGGACTTGGGGTGTACTGCTGGCCCCTGGGCCAGTTTCTCTGACTGAGGAGGAGGAGGGAGACAGTGCTCCCTCCACACTTGTTGGGAACATTACTTCAGCTCAGCATTTTGTCACCACCTCATGGATGGGCTGACACAGGCCTGAACCTTGTCCAGGGGTTCCCAGCTATGTGGGGGGCCCTTATGGAGCAGAGAGTCAAGCCGTTTGTTCAGTCTTTCCTCCCCCAGCTGTCCTGGCGTGCATCGCGTCCAGGCCTGGTCAGGCTGCCAGGGACAGCAGTGAGGGGCACAGACAGGGTCCTCTGTGTGACAAGGGCTGGGAAGGGCCCGCATAGCAGTCGGGGAAGGAGCCACCAGACCAGGACTGGGCAGGGAGGTGGATCCTGAGAGGTGTGGACACCAGGGTCTGTGCAGGGCTGGGCCCAGAGCGTGCTGGGGAGACCACACAGGCCTGGCAGTGGAGATGACTTGCTAGGAACTTGGAGGGAGCTGACAGAAAAGGAGGAAGGAAAGAAACCCAGGAGGAGGCAAAGGACAGAGGGAGCGGAGCAGGTGGGCGTGGACAGGCTCTGACTGAAGGATCCGCTCACTCTCTGTGAGCACACTGCCCATTCGCTCGTGCTCCTCAGGGCAGAGACAGGGCCAAAGCAGAGTGTAGAGTGTGGGATCCGAGCCCTGGCGTCAGACCCCAGGGGCAGCCGCCCTGTGGTAGTGGGTCCCTGACTTCAAAGCGGTCACTTCACCTCAGCGAGCCTCATTTTCCCCAGTCCCTTAACCCACACAACAGCCTGGCCATGCCCTCTGCACTCACTCCCCTAAGGCCGAGGAGGCAGAACGAGTGTGAGTGCAGGCAGGCTGGGCCTGGGCCGTGATTTCCTGAGGCCCCCGCCCTTCCACCTCCAAACACAGCCTCTCTCCCCGCAGGAAGTCCTCAGGCCCTATGGCGCCTTCTGGCTCGCCTCAGCCTTCTGCATCTTCAGTGTCCTTTTCACTTTGGTCTGCGTCCCTGAAACCAAAGGGAAGACTTTGGAGCAAATCACAGCCCACTTTGAGGGGCGATGACAGCCCCTGCCTGGCAACAGCTGTGCTCCTTGCTGGGCCAGCCTCGGACTCCAGAGGGGCGGGACCTGCCTGTCACTTCAAAACAGGTCTCGGCCGGAGCCCAGCGCCCCAGCCCACTCCTGGGCCCCCGGGAGCCAGGACCCAGGCCACAGCCCCGCGGAAGGTCTCCTCCAGGGCCTCCTGCCAGCCCAGAGCTCTGGCCCAGCAGCCTGCTGCCTGGTGTGCCAGCCGCCAGCCCGGTTCCACCAGTGCTTGGGCTTGCAGGTCGGGACATCTCGGGCAGCCCTGGGGCCTGTGGTCAGCCCTCTGCACCATCTCCGTTAAGACACTAAAGGGTACCTCGTTTTCTGGCTGCAGATGCTTCTGGAGACTAGTGACAAACCACGGTTTTTCCTCGAGGAAGGAACTTTATTTGGTTTGCCAAATAAAAATCTGACCCGGAAAATCAGGCCATGGCCTCTTTGTGGGACTGAAGCCTACGGATGGGCTGTGTCCACCCTTTCGTGAGCCGCCTCCAGTGAGCGGGGCCCTGCCAGGAACATCTAGTGGACTCTGGTCGGCAGGCTCAGCTTGGCACTGGGACGGCATTTTCAGCTCACCTTGGGCTCAGTTCCCTGGCTCATTAGTCATCAAATCTTGTTTTACAGAAGAAAAGGCTTCTCTATTTAATGTTTGGGTTGTAGTTCACTAACTACATTATTTGGATAAATAATAAACAAAGGAAGCGCACGGCCGCCCTCTGCAGAGGCAGCCCTGAGTCGGCCGGGGGAGGGTGGCCATCTCCTGTGGCCTCCCGCCGGCCACAGCGGCCCTGCTGCTCTGCCAGCTTCGGGGCAGTCTGCGCCTGCGCGTTGCGGTCACCGTGGCCCCAGGCTTCTGCGCCCCACATGGTTTTCGGTCCGTGGTTCTCTCCCTGCCTGACACCCAGGGCAAGTCACTGCCTGCCCCCTCCCCTAAAGGCTCTGTTCCGTCCTGGACTCTTCCTCTTGATGCTCATCTCCTTGGGAGTTGGAAGAGAAGAGGAGCTAAAGGGGTAAGTTCAGCCACCATGGAAGTTTCCTTCACTTTTTTGTTTTTAAAGATTTATTCATTTGTGCATACAGAACTGGGGTACAGGCCAGAGGCTCAGGGGCGGTGAGTGGCTTCACCAGAGACAGAGTGGGGAGCAGGACAGGCCGACTGACGAAGCACACTGCTGAGGGGAGCAGCGGGCGGGTCAGGAGAGGTCTGCCGAGTCAATGTGGTCACCTCTGGGGCAGCTAAAGTGGCTTTAGCTTCTTAGTGCTGCGCTTTAACCCGCTGAGCCACCAGGGAGGGCCTTCCTTCACGTTTTGTGAGCAGTGTTTCCCATGGAGCCACGCGGTGTGGGGAAAAGAATTTAGGACGACTGTGGTTTAAATACGTCAGCACTCAAATCAGCTCCACTTGGTTCTGCATTGCATTGGGTTGTTTCCAGCTCACTGCTTACTGATCCTGCTGCCACTAGACAGGCACGGCTCGGAGGAAGAAACGGGAGGAACAAGTGGGTGCGCAGAGAGGAGGCCAGGGACAGATGAGGGAGATTGTCACAGAGAAAACGAGGTGACTTAGGTCGAGAAGTAGAACAGGACGGGGTGATGGTGGTGGAAACCGAGGTAACGGTAAAGGTTGCTTGGAGGTGGCTGTGTCTGCCATGCATACGTTGAAGCCCTGACCCGACATGGTAGGATGTGACTGTGCCTGGACACGGGGCCTTTATAGAGGTAATTAAGGTAAAATTAAGGGGTCTCTGTTCCAATAGGACTGGTTGCACAAAGAAGATGAAGTGAAGATGGGAAAAGAGCCATTTTCGGACCAAGGAGAGAGGCCTCGGGAGAAACCAACCCAGCACTCACTCTGCTCTTGAACTTCTAGCTTCCAGAATTATGAAGAAATGGACATCCGAGTCTCTCAGACTGTGATATTTGTTACATCAACCCTGGAAAGAGACAGAGGTGACCGGGACACCAGAGAGTGTGATGAGTCAGGAGCTGAGGCGAGAGCCAGCTGCGCCTGTGCGTAGTCAAACCGAAATGTCTTCAGATAAACCTGGAGAGGAGTTGTTAGTCCAGGGGCTTGTGCTTGAGCAAGGCCACTGGCCCGTCCTTTCAGAATCCACCGCAGAGGCTTGCACACTGGCTGTGACCGAGAGGGGCCTGTAACCCACCAGCTCAGAGCCTGCTCTCGGAGGGGCAGGACCTGCAGACCCGCTGGGCGCCCACTGGGTGTCTGGGGAGTGGGCCAGCCTCGGCACCTCTGCCGCTCGCACCCGCGCTGACTCAGTGCAGCAGGCCAGCGGGCCTTGGCAAATGGCTTCCCTCGTCCAGCTGGTCTCTGTCACCTTGCAAAGAGGGGTCTTTGTGCTGGGAAACTGCTCACAGGAATTCAAGCAGAGCTGCTCCCGGCTCCTGCTCGGCGACCCCCAGCTTCGGCAGACAGGCTGGTAAAGCACCAGCCAGGATGCAGAGGGTGGCTCAGGCCCTGAGGCTGCAGAGAGGATGGCTAGACACGCGGGCAAGGAGCAGGACGTCGCGGTCATCTCTGCCTCGCCCTCCTGCTGCTGCAGCGCAGGGGTTGGGACGAATGCCAGCGGCTCGGCTCACATTCTCGGGGTGCTCGCCCTCTGCCGAGCGCTCAGTGTCTCGAGCCTCTGTCTGACTGATCTGTAAAATGGCCGTAAAGATGCCATCCCCGTAAGGGATTGTTGTGAGAGTGGACACTTATATAGGACTACAGTTGGGCCCGAGCACGTGCTCAGTGGGTGCTCCTGCTGGGGAGAGGGAGGCTGCATGCAGGGCTCTGAGGTCCCAGGGCTGCCTCACCAAGGGAGGCCTGACGTCTTTATATTCTGTGTCTTACCCTATTCGCTTAGTAACGCCTACCCACACCACATTCTGATTGCTAACAGCACCCCTATGTGCCAACGACTGACCGCATATGCTCTCAGAAGTCTCAGACTCCCTTGGGACCATTTCCTCAGGGACCCCAGAGCCCTCCCTGCTGACAGTCCTGTATCTGCCCCTGGAGCCCAGCCCAGCACCGCCGGGCAGGGACCTCCCTAAAGGACAGGTACACAGAATCTGGCCTTCTCCCAGCACCAGGTAGAAATCCGCAGTTCCCTCCACACCTGCCCGCCCTGTACCCCAGCAGTTTCCACGCTCGAAGCCAGGCGTGCTCCAGCGCCACCCAGCGGCCACGGGTGGAACTGCGCCGGTTGGTGTGTGCGGCTTTACTTTCAGGGCTCTGGCAAATGGCCAGACTAAAGCAAGAACCCCCCTGTTGCCTGGTTACTATTATGGGGTTAGCACCTGCTGGAAATTGGAAAAGGCAAGGTACAGATTCTCCCCTAGAGCCACCAGAAAGAATGTAACTGCAGACACCTTGATTTTAGCCTAATGAGATCCACCACTGATTTCTAAGCTCCAAATTGTATGTAAGCCCTAGTTTGCAGAAGCTTATCTCAGAGAGATCCATGGATATAGCTTACCTCATGGGGAGAATCTCAGTAAGATTCACAGAAGACCCACCAAGTTAAGAGAACTGTATTGGTCCAATACTGTGAATAAGGGCGGAGACAAACACTGCTTCTCAAGTACTGTATCCCTGTCTTCTCAAGTCACAATGCCTATGTGACTGAAGTGGTCATCAGAAAATGCTTGAGTAGTGAAAATTCTTCAGTAGGTATGAGGGAAAACTTCACTAATGCATGAGGAAAGTTTACCAAAATATTCCCTGTGTGGTAAAGACCTCCCCCCAAACAGAATATTCCTTCTCCAATTGTGCTAATCAAACACCATGAGACACCACTAACGTGTGCTGCTTCTTAAAATTAAGAAGTCTTCTGCTGAAAGATTTTTATACTTTGAAAATTCCAGGCTACATCCTTTTTCACACCAAGGGACCCTCGTTCCTTTTCTTTCAGTAGGGCTCAAACAGACCATGATGGTGACTGAGGTTGGACCTTGAGTTGAAGACAGAGGAAAGAGAGGACGTCCGCTCAAGCCCTGGGCATCTCCATCCACTGAGGAGAAACCAGATGCCCACAACCAGTACTCCACTAAAACCACCCCTCCCAGGATCATCCCGCTCAGCCAAGTGGCTTTCTGTCCTAAGTGGCCCCAGTCATCGGTCCCAGTGGGTCAGAAGGGAACGTGCAAAAGCGTGAAATGAAGTAGATTCCCTGACCAAGAACAGGAGACATTTAACAACAATAACAAAATCAACACATGGGCAGACCTCAGCAGACAATTCACCAGAAGTCCAACAGACATGTAGAAATGTTCTACATCCCTTTTACCAGAGAGATGCAGATCAAAATGGCAACGATAACATCTCACACGGTCAAGACTGGCACCTATTGAAAATACGCCAAATAAGCGCTGGAGAGGTGTAGAAAGAAGAAAAATACGTTGTTGGTGGAAGGAAAGTAGAAGGGTGCATTTTGGGAAGTCATTTGGGTTTACCTTAAAACACTAAAAAGCAACAGTGTATACTCCAACAGTCCTACTCTTGGGATTTATCCAAAGGACATAAAACCATCAATTCAAAACTTACATGGTCTGCTATGCTCAGTGCACTTTATTTACACTAGCTGGACATGGGGTGGGGCGACTAATTCTAGTGAGAAACGGTTAGATCCACAAAATCGGTGTATTCCACACCAAAGAATACAACTCAGCCCCGAGAAAAGGTGCAGTGTTCCCACCCAAAGCAGAATAGAATTCAAGGCAGCGAGGTGTAGCAAAGCAAGTGAAAAATGACGAAGACAATTACGTCAGAGGATCTGGGGAGCAAAATATTTACAAAAGCGAGCGGACGGTAAAAAGGAATTGAGGTTTCGGAGGTTAAGAGGGAGGAGCAAGTGCGGTGGCGGGAGGCAGAGTAAAACGAAAATGCGTCCAATTCAACAGGCAGCGGCCTCCCCGGGAAGCACCTCTCGGGAGGGTGCGGGTCACAAGCCCGGTGTCCGAAAGGGTTTTGGCCATGCTGAAGCCGGAGGCTTCTGGGAAATGGAGTCCGCTGGGGACTCATTGCGCGTGACCGGAAGTGACGTCATCCGGACGCGTCTTCTTGGGCGCGAGCGCGGGGCCTTTCGTTTCGCCCGGCGCGGGCTGCAGTCCGGGTTCCGCTGGCAACTTCCGCGGGTAACAGGCTCTGTGCCCGAGGCCGCGCGGGGTTCCCGGGGCGTCCAGGCCCGGCAGGCTCAGACCTGACCACTGGGCGGAGGACGGTGCGGCCTGGGAGCTGGGAACCGGGCTGGGCCTGTGAAGCGCCGCCGACGCCCGGAGAACTGCCGGAGGCGGGCGCGAGGCGGAACCCCCTGCTGGAGGAAGGTGAGGCGAGGGTCGGCGCCTTGCGGAGACCCCCTGCCCGCCGGCCCCCGGGCCGGCCGCTGCCTCTCACCTGTGGCCGGGGCCCCATTTCGGAGTGGAGAATTCCGAGGCCAGAAAGTTGGGGCGGTCAGGCGCGGGAGATCTGCCTGCTTAGTGCACTTCAGCGAGGAGGGAGGACGGGGCCGGGGAGAGGAAGGAAATGGGGAGGTGCAGGGTCCCCTTCTCGGCGTCGACCTCCCGGCGCCTGAGGCGGCCACGGACGCTCGGAATCGCGGAGCCGGGCCCTGTCGGCGCGGGCTCAGCCTGTGGGGTCGCGAAGCACTGGGCGTCTGTAATCAGAAGCCTTTTGGGGGCCCCGGCTAGGCCCCTTAACCGGTGTTTTTTCTGGGGCGCGACGAGCTGTCAACGCGTCTGCCTCGTTCTCTTTCTCATCCCCAGCGCCGCCGTACCGACGCCGACCCTTCCCGCGGGCGCCGCGCCAGAGGGAGGGATGGCCGCTGGTGTCCGCCCGGCGGGGCCCCGCGTAAGTTGGGCCCTGGCCCCGCGAGGCAGCCTTCGGTCTTGGTTAATAGCACAAAGAATTTGGGCTCTTTGTCGAAAGCTCGAGAAATGAGACGCCGCCATCGCCCTTCCTCTCCAGAGACCCGCATGGCCCGCGCGGTTCCCCAGGGCGCCCTGCCCTGCCTGGGCGCCTCTTTGCTAACACCCGACAGGCTGGCAGACGTTCCTGGGGTGTTCTGCGAGGGCTCCTCGGTGCCGCCGCCGCACAGGCCTCGGGGTGGAGCCGTCCTGGACCCCCACTCAGTCTGCTCTTCCCCGTCACTTCTACTTTTTACTGGGCTTTTGTTTCTCTTTCCTCAGATTATTTTAAAATCTTGTGTCTGGGGAGGGGGGGCTTGAAGTTCTAGTTGAGTTTCTTCCTTTATTTCCATTGAAAGTTTTCGACTCCGGATCTTGATTTCTCCACAACTGTAACTGTGCTGCCTTGCCCTTTTGGCGGGCTGTGTGCTGTGGGGACAGAGGCGGTGGCTTGTCAACTCCCAGGTGGTGATGGCCCACCTGGCTAAGTCGCTTGCTTCTGGTCTGTCAACAGCTGCAGTGTTTTCAACAAGCTAGCTCTGGTAATGCTCATATTTTAAGTTTCTCTTCACACTGCCGAGGTTTTCCTTTATGAGTTATAGTTTAGTTCAGGGCATCTTTATGTGGCTTTGACCCTTTGATTATTACAAAATGGCCTAAATGCTTTAAACGTTTCATAGATTTTACAAGGGACTGTCCATGTAATACGTTTCTTGGTGTGAAGAATGGTTTAGAAGGACAGGTGAGGAGATTCGTTGTCATTTGGGAAATGATGTGCTTATTGTTTTAGGGATCCACAGCTCTTCCCCAGGACGCGTGGAGGCCCTCAGTCCCGGCTCCAAGGAGCAGGTTCAAGGAGGGGATACAGGGAAAGTCCAGGAGCCTGGTCCTGCTCGGTAAGACGCCATTTAAAATTCAGTGTCTGCTCAGTTTTAAAGATCTGTGGTGCAGAGTCGCATCCAGAGCTGCTTGGCCACATCGCTGGGGCAGTGTTCTGCCTCGTGTGCTCGTGCAAGAGCGCAGCCTTCCCAGGGGGCGCACAGGCAGTTTCGTTCCCCCCTTGATCTTACTTCCCAGGTGAGGCGTGGGCTGTCCTCAGGCCCCTTCTTCCTCACACAGAGGCACCTGTCCTCGGTGGCTTATGTAGCCTGTCGCCCAGCTCCCCGCGTTGAGGCTGCTTCTGTATCTGTGTCTTATCTTTTTCACTGTTGCGCCCCATCGTCCCCTGTGCTCTGTAAATGTGTGTTGGATGAATTAAATGAGTGATCCTCCCGGGGGAGGGTGGGGTGGCTTGTTTATACCTCACACAAGTCTCTGAAGCCTGCTTTTTCCCCTAAATAGGACTTCCGGTTTCCCAACCTGGCGTGAACTCCCAGTTGGAAGAAAGGGATAGCCTGTGGGTGCTGGAGCAAAAAGACCTAAGAGGTCCCTGTCCAGGTGAGTGTGCAGGCATCCGGCGCCCACTCTCAGGAGTGAGAGCCCTTTCTCACAGCTGGGATCTGAGGGAAGAGAATGAACCAGCCAAGTGATTACCTGGGGTGGAATATTCTAGGTTGCCACCTATGTTGAGGCTCTGAACTGGGCATGAACTTGGCTTAGGTTAGGCTCAGAAGACCCTAGGACTCAGTAAACAAGAGGGTGAGGGGTTCTGTTACGCAGCCAGGAAGCCCTGAAGGGTCGGGTAGGGGAGGGCAGTGTTTGGTTTGTATTTAAATAGATCCTTCAGCAGAATGGGCTTCCCAGGTCAAGAGTGGGGCAGGGAGACTGAGGAAGCAGTGAGACAGCAGTGGCTGGTGAGTAGGGCTCGGGACCAGTTTGGGTATTAAAGCCACCAGGTGCACTGGCGAGTTGGATGTGAGGTGAAGTTCACAGTGGCTCTGGCTTGAGTATTTGTGAGACAAGTGGCTTGGAAGAGAAAATGGAAGTTCTAGTTAGGTTTGGGGCAGGCGGCACCACTGGGGAGAGCTGGACTGGGCACAAGGTGTGGGCGTCACGTGTTCTAGATTGCTCCTTTCTTCCACCACTTCTCGTCTTTGCCCCTTTTACATCTCTTCCTTGGGTGGCCTGTTTCTGAGAACCATCAAAGCCATCATCCGCGTGTGATCAAGTACTGAGTCACAGAGATGTGCTCAGCCAGCAGCAGGGACTTTGGGTGTTTGTGTGTTAGGAACGTGCTTGGTGACTTACGGTTTTTTCCAAGAAGGTCCAAGAGAAGAGTGAAATTTACGGTTCCTCAGCTACCAATCTGCACCCTATGTCTTGTAACTCGTTTGGTCCTCACAAAAATCCTGAGCTACATTTATAAATAATAAGTCTAGGCATAGGAAGATAGATCATTTACCGTAAGTCACATAGCCAGTCAGCGGTGAGGCCAAGGCTTAAACCAGGCGGTGTGGGTCAGCATTCCTTATATACAGTACACCTTGAACTAAATCTGGTCACCTTGAGAAGGTGGGACTGGGGAACGCTCCTCAGGGAGGTTGACTTTATGCAGAGACATTCTGCAGGCCTCCGGAAGACTCCACCCACTCACCTGAAGAGAGCGGGGTGTCTAGGGTGCTGTGATTCACAGTCTAAACAGTTTCCAAGTATTACATAGGCACATTTAAAGCTCTCTTATGTGAATGAGGTTTCAAAGAAGGTTAAGAATCAGTAATGTTTCTTTTTTAAAAAGGTACTTTCTAATCATAAAAGTCATGATATTCTTCTTAAAATAGTTTTCTAATAAAAATATATACAGTTAATTTGGGAAAAGAAAGTCAAGACCTCCCTGCCTATGTATGTCCCACCATACCTACTTTTCTAAATACAACAGTAGATAATTGTACATACTTCTTTGTTCACTTACTAGTTTATCATTGTGTATTCTTTGAAACCAAACTTTTGTAACTTGAATTATAAAAATAGTATGATTTTCCATTGGAAGTACATTAGAAGGTACCAGACTAAGCATTCAAGAAAAATAACGCCTGATGCACAACCCGGGAAGCACCTCTGACGTTCACACTGTGAAGGTTCCTAGTGTGTCTGCACCCAGCACCTCCACAGAGCCGTGTGGGTTCCAGGCCCGAGTGGGACAGCCACGTGGCGTCAGGCAGCATAACAAGCCCGCCGCGGGCCGCCGCGGGCCTACTTCCCTGGATAGCGGTGCGAGGGTGGGCCCGTCGATGCAGCTGCCGCCATTTCTCGTTTGTCCTGAGGATGAGTTCACTCAGGGGGGATTCTGGTGCCAGGTTTGCCAGGGGCGGCCAGATGGCTCCAAAACGGCTGTGCGGGTGCTGAGGCCCCGCTGGGCTCCTGCTCACTTGGTAGGGGAAGGGATTTCACTGGGTCAGCCACCAGCCAGTCGTTTAGCCGCGGGAGCTGACTGCCCAGAACGTGGCTAGAGTGGAGCGCTGAGAGTAGGAGGGAGCCTGAGGGCCGGAGCCTGAGGGCTGGAGCCTGAGGGCCTGAGCCCGGACGCACCGCTTTCCCCCTTTGAGTTTAGAGGGCAGTGAAGGACGCCCACTCGCCAGCCAGGGCTGCCTTAGCCCTCGGCCACACTCCAGCCCTTTGTCTGGGGAGTGCTTCCTCCCAGTGGAGGGCTGGACAAACTGTTTGTGCTTTTTCAGACTGCAAGTCCGCATCTGCCGAACCACCGCGTGAGCAAGACGTTGAGCAAGATGTTTCGGAGGGCTCGCTCCAAGACGCAGGGGCGGGGCTGCACCCCGGGGAGCGGGGCCACAGGGGCAGGGAACTGGCGGGGAGCCTCAGCCTGAGACCGGTCCTCTCTGCTCAACAGCGGACGCCTGCACAGGTGAGACGCCAGACATGGGAATTGCCCACGAAGAGCCTCAGGAGGACCTCGGACGGAGAGACGCCTCACCGGGCGAGGCCGTACACGTGTGGCGAGTGCGGCAAAGCCTTCAGCTACTGCTCCTCCCTGTCCCAGCACCAGAAGAGCCACACTGGGGAGAGGCCCTACGAGTGCAGCGAGTGCGGCAAGGCCTTCAGCCAGAGCTCGTCTCTCATTCAGCACCAGCGGGTTCACACTGGCGAGAAGCCTTATAAATGCAGCGACTGCGGGCGAGCCTTCAGCCAGAACGCCAACCTCACCAAACACCAGCGCACCCACACCGGAGAGAAACCCTACCGGTGCAGCGAGTGCGGCAAGGCCTTCAGCCAGAGCTCGTCTCTCATTCAGCACCAGCGGGTTCACACTGGCGAGAAGCCTTATAAATGCAGCGACTGCGGGCGAGCCTTCAGCCAGAACGCCAACCTCACCAAACACCAGCGCACCCACACCGGAGAGAAACCCTACCGGTGCAGCGAGTGCGGCAAGGCCTTCAGCGACTGCTCGGCCCTCGTCCAGCACCAGCGGATTCACACCGGCGAGAAGCCCTACGAGTGCGGCGACTGCGGCAAGGCCTTCCGCCACAGCGCCAACCTCACCAACCACCAGAGGACCCACACCGGGGAGAAGCCCTACCGGTGCGGCGACTGCGGCAAGGCCTTCAG